CTTGATTGATTTATTTAATTTCCGACTAATTAAAAATTTACGTCCGATCCATTGAGTGAGGTGCTTGAGAACGGCCATAATCGATAGACTAGTTATAAATCCGCTTATAAACTATGCCCTGATTTATGGTTTTCTGCTAGAATCGAACAAAATCAAACTGAACAAAACCATAATATCCTTACTCTGAAATCATTTAATGGCGTTCTCAAGCACCTACCTCAATGAATTCAATAAAAAATCTGATTGGTCTTTTGATCAAACTAGCCAATAAGATTCGTTATTTAATCCATTGAGGTAGGTGCTTGAGAACGCCCTAAGTCTCTTTATTATACGTAGTATGGATTTTAAACTGAAAATTTTATTTATTAATAAATACGTTTCTTTTAATGTAAATATTTTTATTAATAGTTAATGAAGCTTGCTTACCTATAGCATAAGTTTTGAAAATAAAATATACGTATTATATTGTATATATTGGATTCATATTTTATTGTGCAAGTGCATACGTCTGGCTTATAACTGTCTTGTAACATAGCCTTAATGATATGAAGTTTCGTCTGAACAGATGGAGTAATAAACACAAATAAGGCAAAAAGTAATTTTAAACGATTTGAAAAATATAATCTTCTAATGATATTTCTTTCATTTCCCAATCTGATGACTTCATGTTTCTTGCCTTTATATCTTTATTATTTATGCTCAAATATATGGATTTATTACTCTACCAAAATCCATATACTGAACTATATGTTTTAATTGTTAATGGAATCACGCTTTTGCTTTATCATTTTTACAAATTTTAAGATTTATCATAGAAACGGATAAGATTATTATTATTCTTATAATAGCTATATAAAATTGTGTTGCATAACATAAATTGTAGCAAGTCTTATCTACCATAAATTGAATAGGACCGATTATCTTAGCCTGACCGGTGGGTATTACCATATTGGTCATAATGTCAGTTCATAGTCGCTTAAACATACGATACGACTTATACTCTCTTCTGTAGTGCCTTCCTTTCTCCATTGTTGATGCAATGCCAAATTCCCGATTCCATTTCCCTGATAGCCATATTAATCTCCGATTGTGAAGTAGTCAGTTATAAACTTCAGTGATATGTCAGCTGCATCAGAAGCGATACCAAAGGAGGATTTTCGGCTGGTAACCAAAGACTATTTTCACTAACTAATACACTATTATTAGAGATATTTTCTCCAGATTCAGCGCCTCCCACCATAAGTCCATATCGAGGATATAAGAATCACCGTCATTTTCAATATACCATAGTGACGCGGTAGATTTGGTTGACACGTGTTTAGTAGCACGGGGTCAGGATCGGGTTCGTGTAACTTACGCGTTGCATGATCGATGATCAAGTAATATAAATAGAACAATGGTCTTTATTAATTAGAAAAAGTTTAGTTTTAGAGAGAGAGAGGATAGGAAAGTCTTTAATAATAAAAGAAACGTCTAAAGCATAAACTGTGTGTGTTTAACATATCACTTTGTACGTGGTATATGTGTGGAAGTATCTGGTACGATACTCCAGTCCTCGTTATTAAGCAAAGCGAGTCTTTTAGTAAGATTCAATTGAGTAAAACCCCAGACGTCGGAAAACACTTCGACACTGGCTTTAATCGCACTAGCAAAACTGCATAGAGTTTGTTCATACCCATTTTCAATGAAACTTGGGATTCCGAAAATTGACCAGCAATTTAATCTAACTTATTTCTCTGAGATTTTATTCATACTACCATATCCATTGCATAATGATTCATCATCCAGTGTAGAATTAGATGATAGATACATACTGACAATTCTTCGATTAAAAGATGTTGCATTATATGGCCTGCCGTCAATAGAAATCAGGCTCATCTTTCACAGCTCATATCTCGATGATTTAATATTGTTCTAAGTTTTCTTTTGAATATTTAATTATCGAAATAACATCAAAATTCATCGATATATGAGCTGTGAAAGTTGAGGTATAGATTTTTTTAAAACCATATATTGGAGACTCAAGTAAATTTTCATTTGTTGTATAACTGTGGCTTGCATATCTGGTTATACCTAATGTTTCAGCGGTAAAGTCAATCATTTGGCCATTGCCACCAAGAGGTTGTAAGTTTGATTGCCATACGTCGGTTTTATTAATAAACATTTTGGCTTGTCGACTCGAAAAGGAATAGACCTTTGTGCTATATTGGTTGATTTACAGCTGACATACGGTTATAGCCATAGACCTTTAATTGACAAACTAAATTTCTCTCCAATTTGTTGCTTGGGCTTAATTACCTGGTTCATAAAGATTCCATCATTGTCATGATCTACAATCATTTTGTCGTTACGTCCATCATAAAGTCATATGAAGGGTATGAAATGTTATCTATACTTACAGTACTCAACAGGCGAAATCTCATCGCATTATTACTATATGTTCTGTCAAAATCACTTACATATGCTTAATCGACATATAAAATATTTTTCATGGTGTAAAACCACATATCCTAATTTCTGATAACTCTCTCAGAGAAAATAAGTTGTTAATTGCACTACCTAATATATCAGACTCAATAACTTCAGTCTATATTATTCGTTATAGTACAAGAATTAATACCGAGTGGCACTATAACAGATGATCCATATAATGCTGCCAGTCATATACAAAGAAGAAAGTAAAGCAAATTACGCTTGTATGATCCCTTGCCCTCAACCGACAATTTAAACGATGTTGTCACTGGCACACCACACATACCGTAAGAGCTAATTGGACCTTTAACTATTAATTCACTTATTGTTGTCCACTCTAAAGCTGTCATTTTATCGTTAATATTTTTTAACATCAATATAATACCTATCCTGCTAATGATAACTGGCAATAAAAAGTTAATAATCGCTGCTAATTGTCCTGGACTCAAATTAACTATTATCGTCATTTTTTTTAGTACCTATAATGATTACGTGGGAGATCTTTTAAAAGCCTAGATATATATATCTGATATTGAAACTTTATAAGTTAAGCTTTGAACAAAAATAACAAAATTATAATATGTCTGATATTTTGAATACTATATAAGCTTCAGGTAAGTATTTTACGTATTTACGGTGATTTTAAAATTAGCCAATCTTAGATTGATTAATCTTATCATTATAGATTTAACCTTATAAAGGATTCATTTGTTAGGTTGTTTTTATCATGACGATAAGTTTTTATTTTGTTTTTTTATTTTTGTGCATCAATTACTTGCAACTTAAGGCTAAACTACTACGTATTTGAAAATCTGGGATTGTTAAAGATCATGGGAAGAATATCAAATAATGCTAAAAATCTAAAGTGTTGATTAGAATGTTCATAAAATTTAATGTTAAATTTGTGCAAAATTCTGCTTTGAGGGTTTTTTGTTTAAATAGAATTTGAAAATTTTCTAATAAATAATGGTAGAAAATTTCAGAATGGTCGATACGATAACCAATTTGTTTTTAAAGTATTATAATTTAAATATATCGTAGAAGTCAAAGCAACTAAATTTGAACACTAATGTAGGTTCGATGCTACTAGACGAATTGCACTATAGGTAAACATACTTATCATCTCTATTGACAATTTAAAAGCAATTAAAGTTTATTATAATATATATATATTTGGCTTTACAAGATTTTAGAACCATAATTTTCTATTTTGAAATATCTAATATGCATTACTATGAATTACTATATATTATTATCATTGTTCGTAACACTAACCAGTTAAACTCCTACGCTAAAATTGAGAATTATTAGATTTTATTTTTTTTTAAACTTACTTTCCCAATTATTGCAGCTCGACTTCTTTTCTGAACGGATTCGGAATGAATATTTACATTTTTTTGTTTGTTTACTTCGTTATAAAGTTTATAATATATAGTAAGCATTATTATAAAAAAAAAAACAAAAAAACTTGTTCAAAGTAAATAATGAAGCTAACCTGTCGGCCCCTGCACTTCAAATATCTCGATTTCTTCAGGGATGAAAAAGTTATTATCCAAGATCTCCTTTTCATAATTGCATTTGGAACAAGTTCCACTCTTGCCATTTAATGTCAGATCACCTCCTCCGAAATTGAACCAAAATTCATCAAGGTTACTACGATTATAAATTGCTTTATTGCGATTTTCCACGCGACTAATTATATGTGTATTAGAATTTTCTTCAAAATAAAGATAAAACTATAACATTTTAAATTAGTGAAATACAATATATATTAAAAGTACAGAATTAGAGATAATTAACTTACCTATTTTTTGTCGACGCCCATTGAACTTGTTCAAGACAGGTACGTTTACGATGAACAACTTTCCAACTTGAAGGAGAATCTTTGATCTTTATAAGTACAAGACTTGCTACAATATTTTCACATTTGCTATAAACAGTACTTAAACTAAATTTATCACGTGTTCCTCGATAAGAAAGTAAAAACTTGCAAGAAAGCTTTTCAGATTTTTTTTCGATCCAACTAGAAATAATTACAGAATGTTTTCTTCCAATGATAGCAGAGTCGATATAAACATTTCCATGACGTGGTAACAATATAGAGTATTGTGGTTTCTTATTAGCCATAAGATAAGCCATCAAATCTTCGTAAAGATTTTCAGATAATACTTATAAGGTCTAACACAATTATAAAATTCTTCACTAGATAGTTCATAAAATCGAATATAAGATAAAAATGGATCTAAAATTTTCTTAAAAGATATAAAATCATCATCACAATTCATAATATCGATCTCGACGGATTTTTCATGTGAAGCAGCTAATTTAAGCGTTCCCCAATCTACTAAACGATTCCAAATATCAATTTCTTTTAAATTTAAATCATCTCTCTTGATAATTCTCAAAAAAATATCTTCTTCAATAGTTGGAAAGACATCCAACCCAAATAACAGATTTGGATCCGTACAAATACTATTCATGATATAATCTTGAATTCTATTACAGCTTTGGAGATCAAAGACCGTGTGCAAAACGTCAATGAGATTGGCAACTAGCCAATCAGTTTCCCTCTTAATGATCTAAAAAAAGAATAAAATAATTTGTTTAATAAACTATGATATAGATGTAAAGTACCGTAGAAATAACTTACATATTTTTGAACGTAATTAATCAATTTATCAAGAATTAATTCGTCAGCAGTGACAAGAATGTCTAGAAGATCAAAGCCTGATTGATTAGTTAAATCAAGAGTTCCCGTATAAATATACCTTGAAAGAAAGTATTAAAAATATTAAGTGTTTGATTAAATATTTGCAGAAGAAATCACATAAAGATTAAACATACAGAAGGATCACGTAAAACGCATTTGGAGAAGCATCAATTTTTAAAGAAGTTATTTTTTTTCTATTTGTTTTGGATTTATTATGTAAAATATTTTTAAAATAAGAGGATCTAGCACATAAAATATTAGAATGTGCTTTAAATTCTTTGAAATCCGATTCTTTTTCAACTTGAATAATAACATTGTAATCATCGGCATCGTTAAGAAGCTGAAAAAAATCTTGAGAAAGTTCTGAAAAATCTTCAAAGAAATTAACAACGGCCATGATTTCAAACGAAATAAGGGATAAGCGAAAGAGTATTATGTAGAAATTATTTAAAAAATTGACAATTGACAGTCAGCCTGTAATGCATCGATAAATTATTAATCAGCAAAAACAAATACAGTTATAATATAATAAGAATAACCAATTTATTAAACTAACCAGCTTAAAATAAATTCGTGTATGATTTAGTTACGTAAAGGTTTATTATAATTTTATTAAAGTGATATTTGAATTTTGTAATCAATTAAAATCACTATTAGAACGATCTTTAAAAATTTAATGCAAAAACCAATTGCATAAATAACGAATTTCACATAATATTTGAAAATTACGTCATAGGCTATTTTTGTACATGAGTACGAAAAAATTATAATCTTGACAATTTTAACTCATTACCATATAACGAAATATAATGATGGAAATATGAGTACGTAAGTCTACTGACTAGAGGTTGGAACTCATAGGACGACAAGCTTCTGATTGGCTGATCCGAATCAATTACCCGGGTAACTAATTTATACAGTTTAAAGTACTTTTTCAAACCGTAACGTTTCACTATTTTACTTATGAAAGATAAATTTTTTTTTCATAATTAGTTTCAGAAAAGCGTTGCCCTTTACTGTGCAAAATAATTCCAAAATAATCCCACAAACGAAGAACTTTACTTAGAAGCAAAAATAACTAGGTGTACTATTACATTTTGCCAAAGCCTTCAATTAGCAAAATGGAAAAAGGTAACTGAAAACATTATTTCCAAGGGCCAAACTAATAAAACTTTGCCAGATTATATAAAAATAAGTGACATGCTTTGCCTAAACTGCTATAATGGAATTGTAGTAAATTGTTCACTGGCCTTTTAGCAACATGCTCAAGCCAGTACACGATCTGAAATTGAGATCGAGGTTAAGAATGCTAATTGTTAAGAGTGATCTGAAGCTGCCAAGACTGTTGAAGCTGAGAATAACTCTTTGTCTTTTTCTGAAGCAGTAAAGATTATAACAGATATTCTTTACAGTCATGAAAAAAAAGAAAATAAGCCGACAATATATTTGTTTGATGAATTTCGAGTAATTATGAAAGGAGAAAATGCAAGATTAAAGCCTTTTTTTAAGGAGCTGTATTTGTCAGCTAACCCACGTTCAAAAAATGAAGATTCACGGTTACAGGTAAAAAAACAACTTTTGCTTTTGTGTTATTTTTTATGTGGAATTCGAAATAGGCTTATTACCAATGTTAAGAGAGATTTAGCAATGTATATGGATTCAACAGGCGCTTCTAACGCTTCTATAGACACACTTGCAGATTTAGGTTTTATCACTACATTTCATACAATCATGCGAGTTAAGAATTCTGCATCTGAAGAATATGCAACAGTCGTTGATTCTGAACTTGACAAGTATACTGATAAGGCAATGGTGTTGAATATTGATGACTATCACAGTATTCACACAAAACGTATACTGAACACTACTACAACGTCTACCGCTGCACACTTGGTGACAATTCTCGTAAATCTGATCACCACTCAGCCTGCCATTCCAAGAATGAACTTACACAATTCCGCACTTGTCGATGCCGAATTAATCAAAGCAAACATAAAAGATAAATTTATATCGCTTTATGGTCTTTCGCATAACCAATGTTGGGATTTCGCACAGTTAATGATGATACATGATTGGATAAATTAGCTGTGTACTCTTATGATATTAGATTGAAGGAAAAGCGTCACGTTCATTCAATAAAAGATGTAGTCCTTGTAGATTTGCAAGAAAATAGCCTTCATATGATGAAAGAATATATTAAAGTGATTAACGTGGTTACAGAAGTTCCATCTATACGGCAATACATCGAACATAGATATGCTATTCCTCTAGTAGCTGATTGGCCTGGACAGATTCACCTTCGAACAGCTATTTCATGTTATTTATGTTATAATAATGCATCAAATATCACTCATGATGTTTTGTCCTTTCTTTCTATTATAGGCTCTTGCATATTTCGTTAAATAGCCAGGAATTGGTATTTCTTCAATATCGGCCATTCTTTACTGTGATGTATTATCATATTTTCAGAGAAAATAAGCCTCTTGCGCAAAATCCTAAGCCATGGCATATCAATCTCCTTTTAGAGATTTCTCGTAGCGCATGGCAAGAAATATCTACAACTGTCGAAACGAAATTTGGACCACTATATAAAGATGCTGAATATCTTGCACTTAAGAATCTTCTTGACAATACAATTCCTCTTGTTTTAGATATTTATGCTGTATTTTTTCGATCTGGTGATTTTAATGTTTACTTTGAATCTTGCTTTCGTGTTTGGACAGTGTTCTTTAGGTTTAGCCGCAAAAACTATTCAAAGACGCTATTGATGTATCTTTCCGATATTTTCTACTAGGAATTAAACAATCACCCGATCTTAGAGACAATAAAGGCAGAGCTTTCCAAGTTTTCTGATTTGACCGTCGAAATATTTCTGTTGAAGTACACAAAAGCATACTGAAGCGCAACAAATTATCAAATACGGGCGCTACATTAACCAGTTGCGTTTGGATAATAATGGTTTTAGAGAGAATTTTGCGCATACGTCATCATGGGCAGCCTATGAATATTCTGCGCATGATATTACGATTTTGACAAAGAAAAGTGCATGTTTTCTTTTGCAATGTTTTTCAGAGATTTATGTGCGATTATTTCATTACAGAATTCCATTAATTTATCAATTACAGATCGATTTGAATCCACCTTCCAAAAAGAGAAAAGGAAAAGGACAGGCTAATTATAACAATATTTTATTAGCCGCGATGAAGATGCTGGAGGCACAATTGTGATATCCTCCTTTGGGTTTTAATACTTCACACAAACCCGATCCTTTTCATTATTGCGACACATCTAATTGTTTTTTGTACTTTTATCTACTAATACAGATGCAGTTATAGCTTTAACTTGTGGACATACATATTACAAGTCTTGCTATATTAACAATGGATCCAAATGCTTACATTGCCTTGTATTTCTACAAAGGGTTAAGAGCGCCTAAGAAACGAGTTAAAAAACATGATAATGATTTTCTTTGTGATGATAAGGATAATGAATATGGACCAGTAAAATATTCAGCATCTGAATTAGAAGAAGCATTAAAAAATTTTCACTCATTACATTATTTATAGACAAAATTTTAATTTATTTATTTATTTATTATTATTATTTTAAATTTGATTAAATTATATATATTATGAATACATTGTTTTTATTAAATAAAATTATATATGTTATATTACGACTACATTAATTGTTTTTTATTAAATTAAATATGATTATTAAATAGTGTTTGAAAAATTTTGCATTTATCCTATATTTTTCTAAAAATAAATTTTTTGTTTTCGCCAAGAGATGAAAAATAAATAGAAATAAATAAAAGCCTTCATTCGAATGAAAATAGATCTTTCCAAAGATATTTTACACAAATATCAGCTCACGAAGTAAATGATTCGCCTCTTGTTAATAGACGTAGTGATTCACCTTCATATAATCTTGTAACTTGCTTGTTGGTATTTATGTTTTGGACCTAACACATAAATATGAATGTTGCTATCTTGTTTGTGTGTTCTAAAAGTAATAAAAATAAAAAATTTTGAATATAATACTGTAATAAAAAAAAAAGTAAGTTTTTTTCTACAATAAATTAATTAGCTGGCAAAAATTTTTTGATTAATTTAATTGGTCAATATTCATGCAAAGATCTACGTAATTAACCAATCACGTGCTTGTCTTCCTATGAGTTTTAGACCAATAGACATTATACTCATTAGACTAATAGAGTTTCCAAAAGACTATTAGACAATTTGACAATAATTTTTTTGATTAGACTGTCTATTCACATCCTTGCTAGTGATGCCTGACAAAACCATGTAATGCTAATTATCACGTGCTATTACTTATAGATGTTGATTTTCATATATTGCACCATGTGACAATTAGCATCACATGGTTTCGTCAGGCATTACTACTGTACATACATTTTATCGTCATAAGAATTCTCTACTAAATATTATTTCTCTGTTTTTTTCACTTATGTGTTAAATTGCCAGTTTGTAAGTATATAGTTTATTCATAAAATAATGTACAATACACACATTTATCATCAATAGAATATATAAAATTGCTAAGCTACAAATGCCACTTCACGAAGAAGTAAAGTCGTTTTTCTACTAGGTAAATGTATTTTCAATTTTTAAGTAAACTTGTAGAGCATTATTTCTGATTCTAATGATAGTAAGATTATTAAAATCTGATTAGTAGATGCCAAGATATTTCTAGAAAACAATTTGCCAACTAATGTAAACAGACTATTGTTTACGTGAAATGGCATTTTTGGCTATAGTAAAACTTATAGTAAAATGCGTTACAATTTACTATATATGGGGGTCGTTTAATGCGGAGCAGAATCACGTGATATACGACCAATCAAATTATAGAATTTTGATGATCGCTGACGAGCTAAACAAGAAAAAAAAGTAAAAAACTTGAAAATACAAAAAATAGCAGTCTAAACCTACCTTGGGTAAGCTAAGTAAAAATGTCGGGAAGGCAATTTTGCTTATATATAAATATCTAAAGCCTGCTTTAATCACAATCCAAAATGACCATAACTCTAAAGTTAATTCGATAAAATATATATTATAAGAATCTACTCCGCTTTAGACGTCCCTATATATGGGTATATATGATTGCCTTATTCAGAAACGGATTATCAATTA